TTAGAATGTGATTTACAATCAACCAAGTCATTCAAAAATTCATGGGCTCACAATCTGGCACTCACACACACACACACACACACACACACACACACACACATCAGGTGGGTAACTGAGTCCAGATGGGTTGTCTTTCATAATGGATGAGCCCAGCTGACTGACTGGCTCCATGAGGCCAGACTACCTGTGGGACACTAGCTGAGGAATGTCAGGAATGTCAGTATTCCCTAGAGAGACACACACACACCATCCAACGCGGACTCTGACAATCTCAGAGTTTAAGCATAGACAGGAATGCTGAGATATAGAATAGCGAAGATATGGGTGCGAGGCAGAGCTGACAGGAGTTTCGGCTTTGCTAACAGCTGTCTGCAGAAGAATAGAGACCATCCACTTCCTCTTCTGCCTTAATCAGAATCTGAACTGTGCTAATAAACACTGTCAGAGTTTAATAGATTATTTCACTAAGGGATTAAGTCTTTGTTAGTGTTTGACTATCCCAATCAGCATTCCAGAAGTAGGGCGGGAACTAACGATATTTTTTTATCTGCCAATAATTGTATAGATTTATAGAAAGGTGCAGTGACACGTCCTAAAACCCTGAAGTAAGCTGCGCTCGGTTTCCCTTGTCAAAAACTCAATGGGATTTCTCCATAGGATTTTGGAAAATAGCTCGAAAAAAGGTCTGTTGAAAACAAACCTGTTAGATAAATGCACGTTTTGTTCAGCCGGATAATATCCACATGTATATCCTACTTTTCTAATTTTCGAATCATAAATCTATCGATCCCATGCGCAGCTTACTTCTGGGTTTTAGGACGCGTCACTGCACCACTCTATGGATTATGCAATTATGTGGTCAATAAAACAAAATAGTGAAAAGGGTTATTTCCTGTTTAAAAGTCCTAGGAGGCATCATAAAATGTATCGTTTTGTTGGTCCAACGCCCAAAGATAGTTGCTTTAATATGATATGAAACACAGTAAAGCAGGAAGTTTTCCTATTTGAGAGGCAGAAAACACAAATGTCTGCTATTTCTTCATGAAAAATACAGGTTTCCAAATAGTAGCCAATTTATCATACGTTTCGGCTGGTTTAACTGAAGTCTTATCCAAACAGTACTTTAATGTAGCATTCTGAATCATCATACATGAAAACAACATGCTGACCATATAAAGTACGCACAGGAAAGTTTACATTGTGTAACTGCACCTTATCTGCTTTAATTTGTCCTAAAGTATGCCCCTAATTTCTAAAATACTGTATGAAGTAAGCTGTGGTTATTTCCACTAGAATAAGGTTATGAATTTGCTATTTTTACTGAGAGAAGGTCCTCAAAGACAGCTCAGTTCAAGGTATAAACAACATTTCACAGACAGAGAGTAAACAGGACCAGATTAGTGCACTGGCTTCTTCTGTCACTTTTTGTGCCTTGCTCAAGTGCGCCTACTCTATGGGAGTTAGTGGGGAAAGGTAGCACATTGTTTACTCTTTCATCCCTCTTTTGCGTTTCTCCCATACTTACTTAACTGCTCTCCGTCCGCCCCAGTGTCCTCTGATCGCTCTGTATCGTCCTCATCATCCCCCGACGAGATGGCATCTGCACAGAGTAACCACGGTTACTGCCAGCCTTCGCAACCCGCATGCACACACGTATAGTATCGCATGCACACATTTTCATGCAGTCGCAAATTGGGATCTTGTTTGGTCAATCAGTTTGTATGCTGCTGTATTTGCACACAAACACTAGACCAAAATGCACGCTCTTCATCCCTGCTCCATGGCCACTTCCTGGACTCATCCAAGCTCAGTCCGACTCTAAATCTCCAAAGTCCCTGTCCCATCCTGACCTGGCTTCTCCCTGACTCACCTGTGACATTTACTATGAAGCAGACCGTGTCTTTGCCCACGCTGGTGCAGGTGTACAGGCCCGAGTCCTTGGCCGTGGCGTCACGGATCTGCAGCACCTCCTGCTCTATCACCGTGCGATTGTTGATGCCCAGAGAGCTGCCATCTTTGGTCCAGGTGATGGTCCCCGTCTGTGGCAGAGGGCAGCTCAGCTTCAGCAAGTCCCCCGGGTGCACTGAGCACACCGTGGGCTTAGAAATTTGGTATTTGTTCGAGGCCTCTGCAGAGCGAATGGAGGGGGGGAGGAGGAGGATGGATAGATTGGAGGAGGAAGAGGGTGCACAAAAAGGAGGAAAGAGAGGTGGGAGAGGAAAGAAACAAGCCATAGTGTAAGAAACAAAAACACCACATAACCCCCAATGGATGCACTTCAATCAACTTATGCAGGAGGAGCAATACAGAAAAGAGGAGGCCCATTTTCTTTTTTTAAAGCATAAAACCAACATGTCTTTACCACAATCTCCCAGTCAGTCATTTCAAATGGACCCATTAGAAAATACCACTGTTCTGTTATCAGGTGTGCAGTCAGTGTGATTGGCGTATATAGATTCAGAGCATGCAGTTACGGCTGAAGTAGCGTGTGCAGAGTGAAGGAAAAACAATCGATGCTTTGCGAGCAGGTGAGAATTGGACATTACTGTGTTGACAGTCAGCCCCCCCTACCCACCACCAACACCACCCATTCCTTTTAGCCGAGATGCCAAGCAGCCAGTGTCTCTGTGTGACGAGAAGCAGTGCAAATCTCTGCAGCAAAAAAGTAATAAAACTCCACCATGTCTGCCTGTCAGAAGAGAAAGCAGCCAGAAAGCTCTGGGACGGAAGCGAGTGTAAGGCAGGGGAAGGGAGAAAAGGGGAAGGAGGAGAGGCGCTCTCTAATTTGCCGATAAGTTTGGTTTTGACTCTGCGCATAAGCTTAGAAAACCTTGACCTGGCTGTAGTCTGACACTCTGTTTTCTATCTGTATCTCTCCCTTCTCTTTCGTAACATGGCCATGGAGGATCTACAACCACTGGATCCGCCAAGGCAGCGAGCAAGAAACTCCTGTCGACTCCAAAGTGCATAAAACCTTCACTTCTGGGACAAAATCCAAGTCCGCCTGTGAGCATGTGTGTACACCGTGTCCTCAGACTTGTACAACTTCACGGAGAGGCCGAGGTAAATGTCCAATATATCAAAGGGAATTCTGAATGTCTGTAGCTGAGCCTGCACTTCTACATCAGGAGGGATTTTAAATCTCGACTGTGACTGAATGTTAAGCAAAAGGGGGAAATGTATACCGAAGCCGATACCAGTTACCTTGAGTCTGTTGCAGACTTTAAAACACACACTTTAATGCAGAAATGTGAACATTCGGTCTTCCCAAAGTCTTTGCAACCATCCACAGTGGAAAATAAAGAAATTCCATGCTCTTTTTACTGCAGTACAAAAATGCCAAGAACTACGTGTTTGTGTTTTTCTCTTCTGAAAGAGAAAAAGAGGGATTAAAAAGATTTAAAGCTAGGGGAAAGTAGCAACAATGGAAAATCCAGCGATGAAGGCATATGAAGTGTTTGACTGAAGGCTGATACGTGTAATTATAGAGGCGGTGGCACTCGCAGCCTTTCCTGTACCTCAATACAACTCTTCAACAACATTCCACACCTACCCTGCCCTATGTGTGTGTTAAATGTAAAGTATACACACACTCCAGCCTCGACAGGAAGGGAAAGTCATTCCGCCAGCGGTCGAGGCATGTGCGTGAGCCTCTAAACGTCCCCCCTGGGCAAGTAGACATACACAGGTACAATTCCTGTATTGTCTTTTTTTTTCTTTCTCTCTTCCTCTTTCCTTCGATCCGGAAATAATTACCCCTCCCTCCCCACCCAGGACTGAGTGTGTGGTCTGATAAAAGGTGGAGCTCCTGCGCTGATTGATGGGGAGCTGTCTCCGTTACCTTTTTTTACGATGTGGTTTTCCACACCGGGGGCCACTGCCTTTTACTTTAACGTTATTACTGGCTTCCCTTATGCTGTTTAATTTAGGATCTCAGAAATGTAGAAATGTCGTAACTACCGGGAAACAAAGGGGCTGACGTAGCAACCAGGAACATACAGAAACACACACACGAAGGGGCTGTACTGTCTGTCAGCACATCTAAGAGAAAGGGTGGCTGCTTCATAGAAGATGATACAGACACAAGGAGGTAAAACAAGCACACAGGAAGGAATCTCTCCAAATGGTGCGTCTGATTTAAGAAAGCATGCACGTGTCATTTCATCATTTTCTTATCACTGCTGTGTCCATCTGTCCCCCTCCATCAACTCCTCCTCCTCCTCCTCCTATTGTTGTTGTTGCTGCTTCCCTCCTTCACCTTCCTTTCAGCTTTGCCCTCTCTGTCGCCCCTTCCCACCCTCTTCTACCCCCCCCCAGCCCCCTGCTGACCCTGCTGACCTGTTGACACCTCCAGCATGCCCGATTGTTCATGGGAACCTGTAAGGCACAGCGAGTGATGCTTAAAAAACCTTGAGAATCCTTGCACACGCTCTGGGAAAATAGCACTAATAAATGCATGTATCACACACACACACACACACACACACACACACACACACACACACACACACACACACACACACACACACACACACACACACACACACGCTTTAGCTCGATTTCTATCAAACAGCTTTTTCCTCTCCCCTCCCTCCATCATCACTATCATCTTGCCTCTCTTCTCCTGAAGCACAGCTCCATTTCAGAACCCATCTCTCTTTTCACAACAGCTAATACAAGTCAGGTGTGATAGAATCAGGCTGTCCACTCTTTTCGTTCACACCTTTTTGGCTGACCATAATTAGTCTTTGCAGCAAAATGCAGCAATTCCCTCCAACGTCTCATTCTCATCTCTCTGTCCTTCCATCAGAGCTAAGCAAGAATGTTGGGAGGGCAACGTTTACAACTGAAGAATATGATCTTATACATTTACTTAGAAGGAAAAGAACATTGGCCTGCAGATCTATTCTCCCATCTCCTCCCTGTCGTGCTCTGCACAATGGGATAGGTGGGCTTAATGTAATGACTCCCGTATCACACACACACACACACACACACACACACACACACACCCAAATCACATTATCTCTGCTGCCCTTCTTATCCCTCCCTTTTTCCTCTTTTCCTCTGTATCCTCCGCACGTAGTCAAATCCCAGGACTTTTCTCCCCTTTTTTTGTCTCTCCCCTCTTTTCTGATGTCAGTGTCTTTTCACATTCAAATCCCTCCTTAGCTTTTTTTATTATGACAAAGGAGCAGCTCCATGAACTGGCTCCTGCTGGCGTCCATGGCAACAGCCCTTCTGCTAAGCCCAGCCTTTCACCCCTCATCAAGGCATTCCCTGAACACCACCCGACCGCTTTAACCCACGGGTCACCCCCTTATCTCGAAAAGATCTTCTTAGGTCAAACCTCGATTGACCCTCAGAGTAGAGCTTCTCTCTGCTCTGACTTCTAGAGATGAACAAGTTTTCTGTTTTTTTATGGACAAATGTTCCGATCATCTTTTCCTATCAAGACTTAAGGTACCATCTGAAAATGTCTCATTTAGTTCAATGCAACAGTCCAAACTGATGTGCAGTTTGCAATGATATAAAACAGCACATCCTCATATTGGAGAAGTTTAACAAGAGTTTTAGCTTTACACATTTACATTATAAGTAGCACTTTTTTCCAGAAGAGTGAGCAGGCAGGAGGTGTAGTGCCTTGCACAAAAGAAATCCAGAAGTGATCATCTTAAGCACTACAAGTACTCCAAAAAGAGTTCAGTAGGTGAAACACTATCAGGTTAAAATCCCTACTTTTTAAAGGGGCCTTATTATGCTCCAATTTCTGGTTTCAAAATTGCACTTTGTCAATAGGAGGAACTTCGTGATTGAGCCTTTGCAGACCATTAACATGCACAAAAACATATATAATACACTACAAGATAGGGTAAAGAACCATTAAAGGCACAATAAGGGCCCCATTTTGCATCAGAGCCTAGTATCTTTATCGATGTTTAAAAAATATATATTCTTCAGTGTTTTCCTCCATAATCCTGCACCCTCTCCACACTTATCCTCCACTGGGACCGGAAACACAGGCTGGCACAGATCGCAGCTCTTCCCAGCCTCTTATCAAACAGGTGTGAGGTGGAGCGGTTGAGTGACAGGGTATTTTCTGCCAAGGCAAATAACAGAACACACACACAACCACCAACACACTCAACCCTTCAAGATTAACAGCGGCCAACGGCAGGCTAATAAAAGTCATTGTGGGAAGGCCGTATATTCAGCCCAACTCCCCCTACCCCCCTGGTCACACCAGCGGAAAACACTGCGTTTGTTTAGAGTTCACTACCATTGCCATTGCCATTGCCACAGTCACACACACGGACACACACACACACACACACACACACACACACACACACACACACACACACACACACACACACACACACACACACACACACACACACACACACACACACTGTGTCATTAACCGGCCAGCTGACTCTTTTATTATTTGACTACCGCACTACTACTATGTAGATAGCACAGTGTTACAGATAATAAGCCTCACATTCCCATCTTCCCATACAACTAATAACAGTCTCCAGAAAACTATTATCTTAATTAGCAGTCTATAATTATTATGGCTTTTAATGCAATAAAGGCAATTGCTGTAGTGTTAAACGCAGCTGACTTCAAACTTGCTTAAGAGTATAAATCATGCAGCAAATAAATAGAGAAGAGACGTTCCTACTGTGCCAAAAAAACATTAAGAAAACTTTACTGACTAACATCCACCCTTTTGTTGCTTCTGTTTGAGCTTTAGAGACTCATCCTTGAAACATAATGTAGCCTTTATTTATTAAAGCACTATCTTTTGAAGTGTTTGGCAGGGAGAGTACGAAAGTAAAGCCAGACTTTTGTCTGCCGCACTCACAAAGATTTTTATTCCAATGTGCCACATTTATTCCGCTTTATATGCAAAGAGAGGGCCAGAACAGACCGGAGGGCAGAGAATACCAATGGTAAAGAGACACACCTGCTGTGTTTGGTAACATTGTTATTCAGCTCAGTCAGAGTATTGTAATCACAGAGTGCCTGGACAAGGTAAACACACTGGAGTGACTAGAGGGACAACAATAGGTCTGTTGTGGAGATCTTAACCAGCGCTCGCTCGACTTCTACTCTTACAGCAGCCACAGGTCAACAAACATGCAGGGCCACCAGGGGAGCAGGCGTGGGCTCTAAAGAGACAACATTGATATGCGATCTGATGAATCTGAAGCAATTGCTGCTCCCACACACATGCAGCGGTTTGACCCATGCTGCAGGGCAAAAAGGGAAGAGGCTGGACAGCCAATCTGTCTCCCTACAGGTGACACCAGCACCAGGAAGGAGACCGCAGGATAACCGGTGACGCATTGATTCAACCACAGCTGCGGTTAAAATAAATCTATGTTTGCCATGTGCAACCGAGAAACTGACTCAGGATCAGATAAGCAGGCCAGGTTCTCTGTGCCCCGTTGATCCCTCATCATGTGACCCCCAGGTCTAGCCACTTAATCTCCAGTCACATGATTTCACCGCAACCCAGCGCTCTGTAATCTCTCCACCTAAAGGAGAAGTCAAATATGCACAAATCCTCTTAGACCTTTCCTGGAGGATTGTATAACTCTCTAACTTTCTCTGTCCTCTATGTGGCCATGTAGCGTAACGTCCAGGCCATGTGGGGCTCTGAATCAGCCGGCTCGGAGCCAAACAGTCTGCGACAGAACAACAAAACACCAGCCGGAGCCTCTGCGGCCTATCATCAAGGTAAGTAGGACAGTACCTGACCTCTAGGGCAAAGGGTAAGGCGAGGCACAGAGTGTATGTGTGTGTGTGAGAGAGAGAGAGATAGGGGGGATGTAGCTTAAGAAAAGTGATGCTCTGTTGTTGGCCCAACTTACAATTAGCATGCTGATTAAAGTCCGGGAACAAAAGGCTTTGGAATGTAAGTTACCATCCATCACAACAACTCTAATTAGCTAGTCTCTGACCAGACTGGACAAGAAAAATAGAGAAGGTTCAAAAGAGAAAGAAAACGCTCTCACAAAACGGGTTTTCAAAAGGTTATACCAAAAAAGACTTCCAAATATTACACAAACTTTGCACAAACTCAGAGAAACATACCAAAGACCTCTACTAATTTCTCCCTTTCCCTTGCTCTTTTTGCTTCGTTCCAGGCCAGCAGGGCATGAGAGAAATGCCAGCATAAACACTCCCCACCCTCCTTCACAGCTCTCCCTTGTCCTCCCACGCAGGGTCACAAACCTGCCTTTAACACTCATGCACACCCTGAACTAGCATAGACATCAGCAACAGAAATCAAACAAAAACGTGTGAATCACACACCTCACGCTGAGGAAAACAACAGGCTTGCCATGCTGGGGTTAGTTGTTTTTTCCTTTGGTTTATTTATTTGTAATTTCCCGCAAAATCTTACAGAAATACTTTTCTCTTTGTACTTGAGACTTTTGGTGAAGTTTGAAGGGGGAAGAATGGCCCAAGAAAACCTTTTCTCTGCCAGAAATGTCCCATACTAACTGTAAATGTTTAAGTGACAGTGGAAATATGTTGTTTTGTTACTTTAAATGGATGAAACTGTAGAAATCCAAATACCACTCATTTAGCTTGACGCTAATCGTGGATTTTTTTTAGCATTGATGTTTAAATTAAATAAAGGAAGGAATTTCTCAGGATATCTCAAAACTCTGAAGTCAGGTTTCAAGGGGGAAAACAAACTTGACAGACTTACACCATGCTCTCTAAAAACAACCCAAACAAATGTTTCCCCCCTCCTCCACCTCCCACACTCTCCTTTTCTGTTTTGTTCCCATCCCCCCCCTCGCTGCCTACCTTCAGGTTCCAGAGTGGCCTCTTCTTCCTTGGTTGCGGTTAGGGGCGGCCGGGCCACGCTGACGGTCAGCAGGGACAGCAGGACAGCGGCCAGCAGCCAGGCCCACGAGGCCATCCCGTTAGTGGGGGCAAGTGCTCCCCATACTCCCCTTCTCCACCTCCCCCTGGACACTGATCCCATCTGAGGGAGTCCGCCCAACCATCAACTGCTGCAGGGTCGGCCTGTCACTCAGCGGAAATTCACCCAATCACCTGGGCTGAGAGGGGAAACAGAAAATGTGTTAAACATAACATTGCAAGGGTTTCTAAGATCTTGTTTAGTACTATTTTTCCAACTATTGTTGACAAAGTGACACAGAAAAATTAAGCCACAGAAAGCAACATAGAGTGCTTCAAAATGCTGTCAAACAAGCCATGCCACAGTCAGACATACCAGAGCAATGAGGCACCAGCAGTCAACACATGACCTACCTGCATATATCTCCGCTTCACATGTATAATTATATGCATTTAAATGTGTTTTAGAGAAGCAAATAAAGAGCTCTGCAAGTGTTAGTATTTGCAGTCCCACTGACTCACAATACTTTGCAATATAAATCAAGGATCAGACTTTTTTTTAACTGTATCAATATGTGATTTACCACAAATCTGATGGTTTTTCTCCTTATTTAACCAAACTGCTTATTTTTTCTTCCCTCCGAATAATACATGATCTTCTTAACGGATGAGGCAAGGAAATATGATTTGAAAATATCCTGGCACAAAATGGACAGCATAGCCAATGGTTCATTTAGCTGGACGCCGTTTATTCCCGTGCGCAACAGATGCACCAAACCTGTTGCCCGCGCCGCTGCCCTCGTGTTAATTGTATTCGTAAGAGGCTCTTATTGCATTTGCTTGACTTGATTATGAAACCAGTATGGCTTTAATTGAAATGCAATATTGCAGTATTGTACACAGACACACACAGCAATCTGTTTAGCCAGACATCTGCGGTTCCACCGTGCTGAAGTGTCTCTGGAGGTTTGGAGAAGTCACGCTTCCCTGCGCTCCTTCTGCTCCAGCTGGACGTATCGATCGGTTTTTACCGCAAGGACACATGTAGTTTGACTTTTTGAGACAATCTGAAAACCTGATTTGTCTTTCATTCACACCTCAGGGAGCACAAGCGTGACACGGACTCCTGCGCAAATCATGTCACGGTGAACCCATGAATGTATCCAACCATTTAGCATTATTAGAGGTATGCAGCGGTTTGATTTTGTAATGAATTCTGCATAGTTACAGCTTAGGCGTATGCATTATTAATGAATTGTAAATCAATCAGTGCAACAATCGAGCTCTTTGGGAACTTTAGCAAGATGAATAGAAATCAGATTTACCCATACATATTTTAAAAGCCTCTAGAAGAGCACAATAACAAAAGTACTGGATGATTCTGCAGCTTTCAAATATAGCCACACAGCAAAATGGGTGGTAAAATAATAAATACATAGAAAGATAAGAAACACATAAACTAATTAAAAAAGTTGATATAATGTGCTTCTCATTAAAAGAAAAAAGAAGCACGTTGCTGACGACATGACATTTTGGGCACATGAAGGCTCCATACATGACCACAGCTTTCATTTAAACCGGGCTTTGAATGACATTTCTTGGCACTGATTGAATTCCTATTGAAATTCAAATCAGTTGGCTTTCTCTACAATGGGTGCTCATTTGGAGCTGTTCAGTGATTTAGGGCTCCGGCACCAAGCAGTGAAAAACAACTGCGGTCACGGGATAATTGGCACCATAAATACAATGTAGAAAAATCAAGCAAAGTAATAAATAACCAGGACACTTGTTAATGGGCCCTAAAGTGATGATGCAAGGTGCCTAAAGTGCCTCGTTTCTAAAATAAACAAGGGTCACTGATTTCATTTTAAATACATAAACAATGCACATTGTAATATTTTTGTTGCATGTGAATTTATCTCAAATAAACTTTGGGTAGATGTGTGCACACTAAATAAAGTATCATAAGGGAATTAATGGTGAGAAAAATCTTTAAATTCAACAAAAGCGAAGTTGTATTTTGTCGTGCAGCAGCAAATGGAAACATAGTAGCCACAGGCATTTCTACAAGCCTATTTGTCATGACAGCCGATATCTTGACAGAAGAGATAGTGAGGAAGCTTCACACGTAAACAGAAAATACTTACCATGGAGGAATAAAATCGAGGAGATCTCTGTTTTGGCATGCACAGATAAGGGAGGAGAGAGCATGAGCTGAATCCGGAGGGAGGAATGTCTCCAACTCCACAATGCACCAAAAAAAATCTGCGAGGCGCTGCCTTTTTCAGCTTACTATTCCACAAACAGCCGGTATCTACTCAGATCAGAGGATATATTCCAACCCCGACTGGCAGCATAGTCCAATGCCATGTAAAGAAATCCGAGTTCACACGCGTTATCCTTGGTAAACAGCTCGGAAAACCATACCGCTCCTCCAGAAACTTTCCTCCCCGTCACCAAGTTTCTTCCAGAGGGCAGAACATGCCCAGTGTTCCCGAGCAGCGCACTTGTCAACTAAAAAGAAAGTTTGCAGCTACTACGGAGGTGGAACGGGGTTTTAAAAGGTACGACAAGGTAGTTGTCCGATGCAAAATGTCATAAAATCCATCAGTGTGCGTTCCCCTGGTGAAATGAGCGTCTTTGCGTCTCTTTCTCTCCTTCCGCCGTCAGTCCTCGCACTGTTTCTCAGACGCTTTGTCAGGTTTACTAGGGTTTTTTCTCCTCCTTACGTCTCCACACACTGCCCTCCTCCTTCACTTCAGTGGGTGTCATTCCCCCCCAAGCACCCCCAGTGTAATTCGAGCTGCTTCCTGGCCGCAGTGCCTTTGGGCCCTGCCTTCCTCCGCCCATTAAACTGCAGCGCTGCCGGCCTCAGAGCCGCTGCACTCCTGCTGTCAGCCCGTGTAACTACGCCCCTCTGTGGCCGGGACAGGACATCTGCAGGAGGATACACACACACACACACATACTGTGGATAGACGCACAAAGTTTGGAGATGCTGCAGTGTTGGAAGAAGTGATCAATCATTTTCTCAAGTACAACCACACATTATTCAATTCAAGAAAATGAATGTAAAAGAACTTAAGAATAATCAGCTAAATGAACTTTAAGACTTAGCTGAGAGCATGACATCATGCAGTGTCTAAATATTAAACATTATAAAGCAAACTGCCCAACAAAAAAGCATGATTGTATACATCATTATTACAAAAATAAATACACATTTCAAAAATTAGAAATGAGAGTCTCTTGCACTCATTGGAAAAAAAGGTATGCATCTTTTGTTATTTCAAAGTGAGACCCTTAGAAAAGAGAGACAATGTTTTTGCATGTTAAAATAGAGATAACAACCCATGCATAGACACACAAACAGCTTTTGGGTGATATAATAATAAAATGTAACATCTTGTGAATAACCAATGTTTTTAAGTGTAATACTTTATCTGCCATCTAATAAGTAACTCATAAATGTAGTGCAGTGCAATACTTTCTTTTGAAATGTATTGAAGTGGCAATAAATGGAAATACTCAAAATTGTTATAAGGCAAAGTAGTTTTGTTACTTTCCACCACTGAGATGCTGCATGAGGGAGGGCATTCAGAAATACAGTCACCCTCAGACAAGTTAACTCAATTGTCAGGGTTGTGTCTTTCTCAAGGACACTATAACTACTTTTGTATAATGTCATCTTCCACTTACTTTTACAACAACATGGTGTGTTAAACATATTTCTTATGGCAGCATATACCAATGGAAATGCATCCCCGCATATCCAGGGACGCAAATTATGATCTTATCTCAAATGTATTGCCGTGTGGGTTTGGCTAAATGGAAATGCACAACACAGTCTTCATTTTTGTATTTAAAATGAGTCTAGCTCTATGTATGTGCTTAATTTACTGGTGTTTCCGTTTGATGCAGTTTAATTCTAGAGTTAAATGTCCTGCAGGTTACATTAAAGCAAAAAGGAAGTACGTGTCAAAGAGAATAATAGGGGAGTTCTTTGATGATACAAGCAATGTTCCAGATTTGGGAATAACAGAAGTTCATAACTTTTCTACAGATTTACAGATCTGTCCACAGCTACGCAGAGAGACTGAAGGCTGGCCCCCCTGCAGCTCGTCCCCCACTGCTTCAAGCTGTCTCCTGCATTGGTTCAGCCGTTCAAGTGCTCTGAAAGAGACACAGGGGAGGCTGGAAGACTCTACTCTCCAGACTTCTTTTTTATTTGTGTCTCACTTCCACTGCCGAAACCCTCTTTTTTTAAACAAGGGAGGGATAACTCTTCTATTCAATTTGAAAAGAGGCACTAACACGTTTTTCCCTCTGAGGCAAAGGTTTGCCTGTGAATGGAGCGTTCTACGTCGGTTTTTCTCTCCTCTCCCATCCCTGGCTCCACCAGTGAAGCCATCGGTTAACAGAGGAGCTGACAGGTTGGCCAGAAATAAAGAGGTGAGGAAGGAGAGTTTGACTCATTTGTCAAGAGTGGAACAAAATGCCTCCTGCTGTTTCTCCTTCTCTGTGTGTCACTTTCCTCCTACCACATAAGTCTATTTACAATCGCCCAATTTATTTTCCGCTGCTCTGGCATCCCACATTTGAAAGAAACCTCATCAAGCAGAGTCTCATGGGCCTTTGACAGAGGACTGGATGGACTCAATGCCCCACCACTGTGGTATCCGTCAACTTGTCAATGTCCCTCTTCATCTCCCATCTTTTCTTCACTCCTCTTTCTTCCTTAATCCCTCCTGCGCCAACAGCCACAGTGTTTGGAATAAGGAAACAGAGTGAGAGGAGCAGAAAGTGACAAGCTAATAGCTTGCAATCCACATCTAATGAACATATTGATCCCCTGTCATTGTTGATGGAAATCTTCAGGAGGGTAGTTTATTGGAGAGGTTCTCCAATAACTGTGTTAATGGGGGGAACACCTCTTATTTCTGTGAGTGATGTTAAGGCCGAGCCACTCTCCAGTCATTAGCCTGCCTCCTGCTGCTATGCAAATCCAAGATGCCGTTAAAGAGAGCTAATCAACAACGACCTGTTAGCTCCCTTTGTCCGAGGGCGGGCTAATTGGTGCACATTAAAGTCCCCCTACACTCCAAAATGTGTATTGCTTATTGTTACTTGGATGTAAGTGCCAAGTTCATGTTCATCTGCAGTACGCTTGGAAGCCAATCATGCTAAATAATGAAATTAATAAAATAAGATGTGGACATTTTCAAAAACACTGAGAATGGATTTATTGTATGGACTTCTCTACTTCCAGTAGCAGATTATGCAACCAGCAAGAAACTCTAAAATGAAAAATCCTGGAGAGAGAAGTAGTTGTGCATCCTGAATTCAAATAGTTGTTTTTGAGTTGCATTTTGGACAAGGATACAGGTTGACAGAAAAGAGCAAGAACAATCCAAGGCCTTCTCTTTAAAACAATAAAACATATTTGTTGTCATGGCATAGTAATGTTGGACTGAAAACAAACTCTTGCAGCAAAATCTCCTCTTGGAGATGCTGCTTTGGCCTTTAAAGTGTGAAGAGAATTTTCCGAAGAAGAAGAGTGTTTTCACATGTCAATAGAATATCTTAAACCACTCCTTATGTTATGAGCCTCATAAGTTCAGTTATATTATTTCACCTAGTGCCTGTGATATCTACATTTCAGAATCAGAATCAGAATATCTTTATTAGTCCCACAGAGGGGACATTTACATTGTTACAACAGAAAAAGAGCCACAGACATTTTAATGTTACATATGTTACCTATGTTACATGCATTAAAAAGTATTCAAGTAAAACAAAAAAAAGTTAAAATACAGTATAAAATATAATTTAAATAAATAAAAGTTACACAATTTACAAAATAGACATCCTGTAACAGTTCTTAGGATTTAGCAGCCAGGTATATATTGCATAGTTTTTAACGGGATATATATATATATATATATATATATTGCACATAGTTGGTTGGTATTTAACAGCAAGGGGTGTTATAGTCTGTGTTGTTGTGTGTGTGGGGGAGGGTCTACTAGGGGCTGTGCTGATTGTATTTGAGGCCATAGTGCTATGAATGATTATGTCTGTTGGTCAGTATGCCAACCACCATTTTCCAGAACAACATTTCTTAACAACTAATGAATTAGTTGCTATTACATTTTGCACACATCAAGGCTGTATTCATGAAGTCAACATTGGGGGGGACCAACAATTAAATCAAAATTTGAATACTAATTTCCTTCCATTCTAAAGGAAAATATATAAAAATTAACTAACACATGGGATACTTTAAAACCTGTTAAACCCCATGCCCCTGCCCGTGGGGGCAAAACACAGAAATATTCCCCAAACTGTGTATCAGGCATGGGCGTAGGAAGCATCCTCAATGTGGGTGGGACAATTTGACGGGGGATGTGGGCAGGTGGTGAACCTAGCCTCCTCTAGGGGGGTCCGGGGGCATGCTCCCGCTGATGTTAATAATGTTGAAGTTAAATGTATCAATCTGGTGCACTTTGAGAGCAAAATTAGGGACTAAATCTATGCTTCTGACGATTATGAAATACTATTTCATAATAATTGTAGAGTATTTATTTAATTAATTCTGGCACCTTTGGTATTCCATAGATGTCACACATCACAGTTTTAAATCTTTCCACACTCTAAAGAAAAAATAAAATAGAAATAATCCACATGAATAGATATGTATTGGATTACATCCAAAACGACACCGTCATTTTCCACATAGCTGA